GGCAGTTTAAGCACTTAACCACTCGATGAGTTTTTGCATTTTTGTGTTCTTGTGGAAGTTCTTTTTCTTCAAAAAGTACTCTAGTAAAAAGTTCACTTCTTAGAGAAAGGCGCTTCCCAAGAGTTGTTTTCTTAGCCTCGCTCATTTTCATACACAAATCACAAATAAAGTTAGAAATTAAAAATCACGTAACATAAACATTTTATATCAAAATATTTGATAAAACCCGGGTCAGCCCGGGGTCAACCCGGGTCAAGCAAAGGTATGACGGGTCGGGTTGAATATAGGACTCGTGTCAAATAATGATAAATTCGATTCGGATTTTAATCACGAGTCGGGTCAAATGACCCGGGTTTGACCCGACCCTTTCGGAACACTACCCAGAACCAGAACCACCAACAACTAATTTTTATAATAATCAATTAGAAGGTTTGACAAAAATAATTAGCTTTGTAAATTAATTTGTTTACCTCTATAAATTAGAAATCTTCATCGTCAAGTGCAAAAAAATCTGATTTTTAAAGCTTGATGCAAGTTTTCTAAGCGTATATCTGTCCAACTTCACAAGCTTATTGTATTCTAAACTTCAATTATCTCCCATCATCCAAAACTTAAATGATTCCTTCGAGCTTATTTAAGAAAGCTTTTTATTTAGTATATATTTGTAATATATAGGATTTAATAACATTCGCAACGATTATTTTGATATAAAAAAAAATGAATCCAAAACTTATAACATAAAATAAGAAAATTCACCACCAATAAACTAATATAAGACTTTAAACTACTAAATTATTATTTTTAATTTTTGGATCTGGGTTATTGTTGGTTCGTAATAGCTTTCCTTTCCAATTTATATTTCCTACAAAAAGAACTTTCCGGAACAATCTTTAAATCCATTGGAGGATTTGAACGCCTCTATAAATGAGTGATAAAATCTATTTTTATCGTTATCCCGAATAATATTGGGCTCATAGGTATATTCATCGATTTTAATAGAAAACAGAAAATTATTTGTTCCAGTAGAATCACTCCAATCATTTTCAAAAATAAACCCACCTGACCTATGAAAATATGATGACCTACTATAAAGGACTACAGAGTGAGCATGAAATTCTTTGTGGTCTGCATCATTTCCTACATCGATTATGTTATACTCAAACTCTGAACTATGCAACGAACCGAAAATTGTTTGATAAATCTTCATAAGATGTATACTGTATTTTAATATTTTTTTTTTTAACACAAAATGAATAAAAAAAAATGTCGTCTTGACGAAAAGCTAACTATTTAAATTTACTATGTATATAAAGCAAATGAATAAATTTTTATGAATTTATTTATTTATTGGAAAATCTTTTCAAAAAAAATATGAATGGTGGGAAAAATTAATTTTATTAGGATCGACTTTAAAAAAAAAATAATATCGAATCTAATTTTCCCATATATTAAAAAGTTTACTAAATTTAGAACAAGGCAAGTCGTCTTTAGTTGTGGCCAAAACTTTAAGCTTAAATCTAGCAGGTAATGGAATGGATGAAGGAACTTCAAGTTTTACATATGTCCAAGCCCCATATTCAATATTGGACAAACTATCAGTTCCCTTTGCTGGCTTTAATGATTCAACAAAATTTCCTTTTTCATCATATAAGTCAAGGCCTTGTACAATTGTACCTCTTTTTTCTATTTTAAATTCTACTTTATAATCTTGATAATTAGCCAAAATTTCATTAGCTCTAGGAGAAATGAATTTAATTCCTGTGAGCGGGAAAGAAGGAAAATATTTTATTTAAAAATATATATATATATTTTTTTTTTTCAAAAAATTAAAATAAACTTACCAGTACATGCTAAATCAAGAAAATAGTCGAAAAGATCAATTTTAAAAAGAAAATAAAATGATTAATTAAGATCAATTTAAAAAGAAAGAAAAGAAAAGAAAAAGAAAAAAGAAAAGGTTACATCGTGATTTTTGAATAGTTAGAGCTGTTACTTCATTGAACAATGCGAATAAAGAGAATAATAAGAGAATTGAAATAAATGAATTGAATTTGATGACGGTATTCATTTTGTAATTTGTTTGTTTGTTTTTTATTTTTTTATTTTTATTTTTTATTTTTTTTTGTTGGTGGTGAGTTCTTATATTTATTAAAGTTGTTTTTTATTTTTATTTTTTTTTTTTTGTTAGAAGGTTAATGGTGGAAAGTTCTTATATTTATAAAGAATTTCGTTTCTAATGAATAGATCATCATTCAGCAACAAAATAAAGAAGAAATAAAGGTAGGTACAATCATCTAAACTATTTGCGAGTATAAAACTTCTTTTTATTTTTTTGTTCTTAGTAACAATTTAGCTGAATAGAATAGCTTAATTAAAAAAGAAAAGATTTACAAATTTATAAAAAAAAAAATTTTCTTTTTACATATTTGTTATGATTCTATTAATTATAATACGACCGGATTTAATTCTTTTTGTTATAAACTGAAATGATTTTCGATCTTCGGGTGTCTGAAATTGATTTTCGATTTTCGGGTGTCTGAAGATATTCCAATTTTCAGGGGTATGACAAATATTTTCATACAAGTATGAATTTTCTAAAATTTCGTCGCATTTCATTTTACCAGAATTTGGAAATTATATACAAATTAACTTTTGCATCAAAATATACCAATCGTACAAATTTTAGCTATTTAAAAGGAATTAACCGAATAATATTAAAGTTTTTTAATTTTTTAATTCGATTATTTGAATACTTCTATTTGATAAATGCAAAAATTTTATATTAATAAATTAAGTTACTATATTAAAAACTTCTTTTAAATTTTGCATCTGATTTTACTATTATAATGTAGAAATCAAAACAACAATCAACGCGACTTATTAGCCCTGCTCAATTCTTAGATCGGATTGACCGCAAGACGTGCCCTTAAATGATTCGTTATCAAACCGATCCACGTGTTCGCCTATGATAAACTAACATGACGCGCGGCAGTAACCAACATGATTCGATCGAGCCAAATTGCGTTGATTTGATTAGTTTCCTTTTTTTCCGGATTGAACAGGGGCATATTTTTTTTTTCTTTGTTTGTCATTCTATTCAAAGCAAATCCGTTTATTGTTCAAGATATTGAAACTGTATCTGACGATGAAACTATAGTTAATTTAATTATGGATTTGAACATACCGGTATGGTTTTTGTGGCGAATAATCATACAATTGGAACTCATTCATACATTAAAATCCATATCATATCATGCTTTAATAACACCTTATAATATTGGGATTACGGTGAAATCTTATTTGCCATCATTTTAACGATAAAATTTTATTTAAGGTTTTATATATATAAATTGTGGAGGATGGGTGGGTCAGATAATTAAAAATTTACGCCGTTGATATTTTGAAAAGTTATGATCAATTTGTTTGAACCGAATATGTTTTTCGAAAGTTTGAGACTTCATCTCACAATCTGCATAATGAAAATCACAAATAATATTCGATCTATTTTATAAAGAATTAATCGTAAATAAGCAATTTTTGGTTTGGTTGTAAAAGATAAAAATTTTGTATTATTGATTTTAAGATTCCAAGTCTTTATTGACTTTGTTTCAATTGGAACCTTAATCATTCAACAAGGTAAACTTCTTTATTATTAACAAATTTAACTATCAACTAATAAAACAGTCATAGAACTTGACTAATGAATCATGAAAATATACGAAATATATTAAGGCGCAATATGGGTTAATTGTCAAGTTATTTTTTCAAAAGAAGGGTGACGAAATTTTGCTTTTTGTAGAAGTCTATGTCAATCTTATCACTTTATTAACTTCATTAATGTTCAAACTCTTTTTTTACAATAAAATAAATGACAAAAATAAAGTCGTTATTTGTTGATTACTTTACAAAAAAATTCTGTTGCAGAAAATTTGAGTTTGCTTTGAATAATTCCTTTACATAGCATCTTCTTAATTTCTCCATCGATAAATTCTTGTTCTTCCTTTGTCGTTCAATAGTAATTTTTCCTAATTAGGTCAGCATTTCTTGTATCGATTTTGTGTCAAGCTACATTGGTTCTTCTGACTCTAGTTGATTGTCCAGTCTCAGAGATGTTAGTGACGAATCTGTCTTAATTTTCTTCCATTAAGACATCAATTTCTTTTTGTTGCTTTAGAGTTACAACTTCCTCTTTCATGATTTCCGCTTGCATAGTTTCTGCAAGACTATTAGGCAAGTTATTCCATACAATTTGATCTAATATTTTATTAATAAATGTTGTGTGAGTTGGGTAGTTTTTCCTTGTTTAGCTATCTCTTATATTTCAAAAAACTGAGACGAATTCAAGGTCCATTTTTGTCTTCTTCAGTTTGTTCCAATCTAGTTCCTTTAGGAATTTTCATTGCGTATATATTACAATTAAATTCTGGGTTATTAAATAAATATTCTAAGTCTTCTTCCTTGACTTTTACTCCAGTTTCTTCTTCAGTTTCTCGTACTGCTGCTTTCATTGAATTCTCATTCCCTTCTACTTTTCTTTCAGGAGATTGCCATATTCCATACATAACTTCTTCTTTTCTGATTGAAAGGAATACACCATCTTTATCGTATAAAATATTGAGTATGTATTTAGAGTGATTAACTTCTTCTTTGTATGCTTCTACTTCATCAGCCCAAGATTGAGTTGAGTTTTCCTCCCAGGCTTGATTTTAAAAGTCAGTATCTTCTTCTTGTTCTTCAATCTCGATGACATAGCTATCTGTTTCTTCTTCATCATCATATTCTAATCCTTGCTCAATCATCTCATCGAGTTTATCCTCTATAGTTATGGCTCAAATTCTTTTTTTAACTACACATTGTACTGGGACTATTGCTTTATCCAAACCAGAAGTAAGGATCATTTCATTATTCTCAAAGTCAATATTAATTTTGTTTTTCTTACACTAATTAATTCCTAATAATAAGGTTATATCAGTCAAATCAATAACTTGAAATGTCATTTTGATAAAATTCCTTGAATGATTAATGGCACATTTTTAATGGTTTCTAGTGCTCTTTCTCTCTGTCCATTTGCAGTTACAATGATTATTTGTGAAGGTTTATCAATATCTAGTCCAAGTTTCTTCATTAACTTGTGCGTCATGATGCTTACTGCAGCTCCTATATCAATAATAGCAGTTACAGAGTTTTTCTTAATTTTAACATAATATTTCAGTGCTATAGTTTGCTCTTCTTCTTCTAAAATACTAGTAAATGCTGCATTTCCTTCTAATTTAGGTCTTCTCATTCCTTGAAGAAGTTTTTGTTGCTGCACTCTGAATTGCATCATTTGTCCTATATTAATATTAGCTTTAATGTTTACAAGGTCATCCCAAATGTTATAAGATTCAATATTATCCAAAAGTGATGGTTCTCTAGGTATTCTCTTCCTAGGTTTAGTAGTATTGTCTACCACTGTTTGGAGTATTTGCTCAATTATCTCCATTGGTTCATTAATTGTTTAAGGTCAAGTTCATCTGGTATTAGTTTCTCTTTGCGATTCAGATCTTTTCCTCTTAATCGCTGGGAAGACTTCTTGTTCAAGCATATTTACTTCTTTTCTATTTTGATCTCTATTTCTAGTTCTCCAGTTATCTTGTAGTAAACCTTTTCTGAGAGACATCGTCTGGCTATATGACCTTTTTCTCCACATCTGAAACAGATTAATTCATTTCTTGGTTTACTTTCAGGATTGTAACTCTTTCTTTCAGCTGGATTAGTGGTTAATGCAGCTATAATGTTTACTTGATTCAAAGCCATTTGTTCAAATTGTTTGGACAATTTTTCAATATTGTCTTCAACTTTTGGCTTGCTGAAATCATGCTCTGTTGCATAATATCTTCCTGCTTTAACAGTTTTAGCTTGAGTAATAGCAGCATCTAAATTAACTAGATTTTGAATTGCAACTAAAGTTGCTAGTTCATTATTTAATCCACTCAAGAACATTCGTACTTTAAAGATGTCTGGAATTCCTCCTGCATCTACTCTGTTTGCTAACTTCTTAAATCAAGATGTATAGGTTTCAACCTTTTCATTTCCTTGTTTCAGATTCATTAGCTCATATTGCCATCTATGTAATTTTTCTTGCGATAAGAAGTGTGCTAGGAATCTTTCTCTAGATCCTATGTTTACATCTCCGTCCCATCTATTAATCATAGTGTTTACTAGATTATACCAGTCAGCTGCTTCTTCCTTTAACATTTCTGCTGCAATTGCTACTCTTCTATTGTCTGGTTATCCATTAGCTTCTTTCGTTTTTAAGAACATTTCAATCCATTCTTGAGCATCTTCACTATCTTTTCCATAAAAAGGGTCGACTTTTACAATAGAACTTTCTATTGCAAGTGGTGCTAGAATATTAATACCATTAAATCCATTAGTTATACTGGTTGTAATTTGTGTTATCAATGCATTGAGTTGGTCTGCTGTCATAGCCATGTTTGCAAGATTTGGTGGAGGTGTTTCTTCGTAAGTGAAGTGGTTGATGTTATGTGAGGTGTTAGCCGCAATTTGTACTGTGCCTTAAATGATTATCAACTGCGCTAAATATCATACATGTTAAACATGTAATACATGTATCGTTTAGTCAACTTTATATTATATATATCAAATAGTTTACCTTTTAATATAAATATTATATAGTCTTATTTTCATTACTTATATTAT